AACACTCGCTTGACCCACCCAGGTTTTCACCGCGGCTTCTCCCCTGTGGTTTGACTTCCGAATGGAACACAGGGAACTGAGGTTTCTGCTCTTTCTGGCGCAGGTGGTGGCCCTGGGGGACGTCCCCGACGGGACCCTGGTGACGGTGATGGCCGGGAATGACGAGAATTACTCGGCGGAGCTGCGCAACGCCACGGCCGCCATGAAGAACCAGGTGGCGCGATTCAACGACCTGCGCTTCGTGGGCAGGAGCGGCAGAGGTACGGGGGGCTCTGCCGGAGCTCACCCTGGGTCGGGGTGGCTCCGTGGGGTGGAAAAGTCTCTCCTCCAACCCGAGCTTCCAAAGAAAGGCTCAGTAGTCCTCTGTTGTTGTTATTGTGAGTTATCTAAAAGATTTTCTCCTTGGGCTGCTGTGGTTTGCTCACAGCTCAGGCAGAGGCACACACACACCCTGACATCCTCTCTGACTCTTCTCTTCTTCTTCTTCTTCTTCTTCTTCTTCTTCTTCTTCTTCTTCTTCTTCTTCTTCTTCTTCTCTCCCCACCCAGGGCTGCTGCTCTCTTTTATATGGTACATTATGTGTTACTTGTTTACAGTTTTTCCCCAATGCCCATTACCTATATTAAATGGTGTTTTTCTATCTTTTATATGGTACATTACGTGTTACATGGTTACAGTTTTCCCAATGCCTATTACCTATATTAAATGGTGCCTTTCTACTCTAAACCAATCTGTGGGTGCCAACATCACCAAGAACATGGAGGTGAGGAAGGAGAAAGAGGGAGGACAGGGCAGGCCCAAATCCCAAATCCATCTTAAAACCTCTGACCCCCATGTACAAAACCAAAACCCCCCTGTACAGCACTCAAAAATTCTTCCCTTTACTTTGTGACTACTTCCACTATAATATCTAAACTTTTGTGATTTCTTGTTCTTCCTGCAAGGCTGGTAAATCATTTCATGGTTCAAACCCAAATTCCCAGCTGTTTGCAGCTGCCTGCCAGGGTCTCAAATGCTTCTGACCTGGGCCCAGAACATCCAAAAATGCTTGAGGGACATTTTGAGTTCTGACAGGGCTCCAGCTCCATCTCCTGTCCCTGGGCACGGAGCTGGGAGCTGTTATTCACCAGGGAATGCTGCAAAATCCATCTCCAGCTCCTGCATCCCTGGACACAGAGCTGGGAGCTGTTATCCACCAGGGAATGCTGCAAAATCCAGCGTGGCTCCGTTCCAAAGGCGCGGGATGGGTTTCCATATTTTTCCCGCTTTTCCGCGTCGCTCTGATTTTTAAGCGGTGAAATCCTGTTGAGGAAAAATAACCAAAAATCCACCCAGAGAGTGACTCTGGCAGCCACCCTTCCTAATTTAGGCAGCACAATATTACACGTGGTTAGGTTTAAGTGGCTGATTTTCAATTTAAAATGAGAATTTTCAGCTTGCAGTCATCTTGGGGTTCCCCAGCACTCTCTGCAAAAAGTGATTTTTGCAACAGAGAGAGTCAGCCTAAAAATACAAATAATTCCCACTTATATCTAAAGATTTCAAAGGTTCCTGACCTGCTGAAGGCTCTTTCTCTGAGCTTTTTTCCTCTCAAAATTCAACAGTCACAGCAGTCGATGCCTCCTGCAATATGGAGAGGCCAGGCAGGGCAGAGGGGTTCAAAATCTGGTTTATCTCTGCCATAACCAGTAGTTACTGGTAGAAAAAAAAAGGCTTTTGGAGCATAAATAACAAATAAGAGTTGAAGCTGACTTAGAGTGGACTATACAAAAATATTAGGAAGCTTCAAATAGCACCTGACGTGTTGCCTGTGAGTGGGCAGGTGCACAAAGCTTCATCCCAAAATAATCATCAGAATGCCCTTTAAAATGTCACTCCTTAATCCTAAATCCCATAAATTCCAAGAGAAGCATTTAAAATAAACTAATAGAATGATGAGGGTATTTCAGGGAGGCTGGGTCAAACCCCCAAAGAGAAGCCAGCAAGTTGGAGGTCAGAAAAAGCTCAGGAGAAGGAGCAGCCTCTCTCTTTTTTGTAAGGTCAGGGTGAAAATCCATCACATTTCCAGTGTGAATTCAGGTGTTTTATTATGAATTTTCCTTCTGTTTAATTTGTCTTTAAAATCGGAATGAGGCATTGTGGTATTCCGGCATTATTCCAGGACAATTTAGTGACAGGGCAGCACCTCCTGAACTTCAGGAGGTCTCATTTTGGAGCAATCTGTGCTCTGGTCCCTCAGAGGTCAGGGAGTGCTGCCCCTTCCTCACCACTTTCCCCCCCCTCTGTTCCCACGCGACACCCGAGCCGTGTCCTGGTTCCACACACGGATTCCTGATTTCCGGGAGAGTCCCAGAGCTGACCCACTTCTGGCTTTTATTCCGAACGGGAGATGTGTCAGGCTGGAGAGGAGGAAGTTCTCCTGATTATACACAACAGCCTTTCCTCTCCTTTGAAGTGAAAAGCACCCGTGGACACCCTTCCAACACAAACAGCGCCACAGCACTGCCGGGGCACTAAACACATTTCAGGAATAAAATCCCCATCCAGTTTTCCTCTGGGTGCTGCAGCGTTTTTAGCTGAGGGTACAGAGGCAGCTGCCTCTCAAATTGTGTTGTTTGGGCCGCCTTCAAATGGAAAACACCCGCAGCTGAGAACGTCGCCTTGTAATGCCAGCGAGGAATAATAATAGAGTAATGCAGAGCAAATTATATCCATTTACTGAAAACATGAGGGATGCTGTAATGTCTAAAAGTATCAGTCATTAAACGCGGTCATTTGGAATATTAAAGGTACCACCTTTTCAGTAAATGGAATTTGCATTATGATTCAGAGCTGACTGTTTAGAAGATTCAAATGAATAGCTGGCAGAGCGCTGGAGAAGCTCATAAAAACAAACCTGTAGTTCAGTTCCTGGCCATGGTAATGAGGCTGGAAATCATAACAGGCAACTGGGGGAGCCTCAAGGTCAAAATCCAGCAGCTGGGACAAAGCAGGCCCTATTTGTTGGGAATGGGGAACCCTTTCCCTGCTCCTTTAGCCGCTCACACACCATCCCGGGATTTCCAGGTGTGCTCTCCAGAGCCAGGTGCTGAGGATCCTTTAAGTGAAGGGATTTGGGAATGCTGCGTGCTCTTAGTCAGGCTCCCAGGTTCAACATCCTCACCTGCCCATCTTTGGGGCGGTGACTAATGGATGCTTTTGTTTACTCCTCCGCCAGGGGATTGTTTTCCAAAGGTGGGGATTGTTTGCCTTTGTGCGGGATTTGGGAGCTGCTGTTCTGCGGCATTCGCACAAAGCCTGCAGCAGAAGGTGGCTGCTTCAAAGGGCACTGCTGCCTTTGATACTTGGCTGCAGGAAAATGAACCCCGACTTTGTTTGCCGTGGAATATTTGAGCTGGGCTCAGCTCAGTGCCACCGGTGATAATGCGGTGCCAGGGGCGTTGCGAGCAGGGACCGAGAGTTCACCTCGGTTCAGGCCACGGTGGAGGCTCCTTGTGTCCCTCAGGGGATTTAAAACCCTTCTTTTAAATCCCTGATGGGGAATCAGGAATGGTTTTGAGTGGCGATCATCAGAATCCCCATTAAAATCCCCTCAGCAGCCACAGCTCTGTCGCTTCCGAGGAGGAAATTCCCGTTCTTGAAACGCTTCATGAATAATTTCAATTTTTTTTTTTCATGAAATGCAGCAAGACAGTCTGTATCAAACATTATTTTCCTTGTTTTCCTCCTGGTTTTGGGAGGGTCACTGCAAATCCCCCTGGTCTGGGGGCTGATTTCCCCACATCAATATTTGGCACCACATTTCGGCCGAAGTTTCAGCCTTGTTGCGTGCCCAACACCCAGAGTTTGCCCCGTGCTGCTTTTTTTGAGCTAAAAACCCAAAACATTTGATTTTCTTCACACCCAAAATAGGAGCGAGACTATCACAGGCCACCCAAAACCTGAAGATGTGGTAGGAAAGCAATTTGGCTTTTTCTTCCTCAACCAAAGAGATTTCCATTGGATTTGGCCGGGATCCAAGGCTCCGATTCCTCAGCCCAGTTGGAGAATGCTACTGGGCAAACCTGCCCGTCTGGCTCGGGAGTCATTTCGGGAAGAAAAATGTCCTTTTAAAACTCCAGCCAATCTCAGCCTCCCCCCTTGGCCTGATTACCTGCTTAAAACAAAATTAATCTTGATTTTTCGCCCCCTGTTTGCGAACATTCCGAGCTTCCAACTGCTCCTGCTGCAACGTATCCCTGTTTTTTTAGTGGATAAAGAACCGGTTTAGGTCACTCTGATGAAATGGATCTGATGCAAAAAGCCTGACATTGTAGAAGTTCATTGGCGAAAATTAAAAATAAATAGTTATTTTGGAGAGGGAAAGCTCTGTGGCTTGGGGAACACGACATATTTTCCTCATGGAATCATTAATCCCAGTTCCTATCTTCTTTGGAGGATGTAAGATTCCAAAAATCCCCAAAAATAAACATGTTTTCCAGATGAAAATGATTATTAATGGGTTATCCTATGAGTAGCTAATGGAGAAGTGTCTTGGCTTGCTGCAGGAGATCTCAATCTAAACCCGAGAGCTGCAGCTCCAGGAGAGTTTTAAAAACTGCACCTTGGAAAGGATGGAAAATTAAATCCATGCATATATTTCCTCAGGATTAGAGGAATTGGAGTACATTTTGTGGTATTTTTCAACTTCCACAGAGCCAAAGCAGGTGTAGCCTTGTAGAACAGGAGAGATTTTACCAAGCACAATTTCTGCCCTCAGGACTCTTCCCTCTGGATAGGATTCCCAGGGGAAAAAAAAAAAATCACTTTAAGATCAAAATATCAAAAATACTCAAACTCCAAAAATTACTGGCCGGGATTCCAAATCCAATTATTTTTATTGGTCTTCCCAAGCCAGAATTCTGCTCCTTCTGTGCAGGCTGTGTTATTTGAGCACTTGGTTGAAATGGATTTTATTTTTTTGACTGAAATGCACTCAAAATTATAAAAGTATGTACAAAACAGAGGATGCTGCCCTTCAGCAGGGTCGTAAAACCAGTATTAAGCAGGCGTCCAGGTTCTGATCCAAGCCTTTGGAATGCTGCTGGGGACGTGGGATCAGATCCTGGAGTCACAATAAGCAGGGTTTGCCAGATGGGATGAAAATAGGAGAAATCCATCCGCAATCAACAGGAAAAAAGGGTCATTTGATAGAGTTTGAAGTCAAGTATTTATTTGGAGTTCGGATTGATAAGGATGTAGCATGCTACAGCCAGTGGAA